AGATCAGCATGCTGACGCGCAAGAGTAGACAGACAGGCATTCAGGGAGTAGAGCATGTCGGGGCGCGCGAACAAGTCGAGCACGCGGCAGAAGCAGACGGCATATTGACTCGACGCGCGCTTCGATCCCTGAAGACGACGGGCTGCCCGACAGAGCTGCAACGCCCTGGAAGAACTGCGCGGCCTGGCAAACTCCGAAAACAACGCCCCGACGGAGCGCCACCAGGTGGCCACAAGGCTAACCCTCGGGAAAGCAGGCGGTCCAGGTCGCCCAGGCTTACTCCAGGAAAACTCGATCTGGCCCCCTCTCCCCAAATAGCTCGAAGCAGCTTCTTCCTCAATCTGGTGCGCCTTGAAAAACTCGAGCTCCGCAGCCTGCAAAAGGACTCCCACGACGCCGCGATGCCCCCAGACTGCGCGTCCACATGCGCTTGATCCCACCGGCCTTCAGCGGGCCGATCCCTGGGCCACGCAGGGACCTCAATCGGGGAACGCCTCGGAACCTTCGCAACCCTGACACGGCGCGAGTCCTTCGTACAAGCCAGCGTGAGCTTGATAGGGTAGTGCGGCGCCGTGGCCACGTCGCTAAGCACAGTCGCATGGGCTCCAGCTGCGAGCCCGCGGCTGACGACGTAATAGTCAACTACGCGATCCGCGGGACGGCACGCCCCTTCGTCTGCAGCATCGATGGGAGCGTCTAGGGCTGAGACCCAGCCGCTGTAGTCTAGCATATCAGGTTCCATATTAAAGACACCCATCATAATAAAAGGCATTCCAATAGCATTAAGTGCCCCCCCCCCCCCCCCAGGTCACACAGGATGTTCCAGCTTTGCGGGGCAAGACCAACACTAAGATGAAAACTGATGCTGGCGGCCAGAACACCCCCGGGTAGAACGCCTCCAAGATGCAACAAGCCATCGCGACCAGGCACCAAAACATCCGAGTAGCCCTCTTCTCTCGATAAACCACGTGTTTGGAAGTAGCAAGCATGAGGCCCCCAGAGGTACGCCCACGCCCAGTAGGGACAGCAGGAAAAAGTTGGGCTCGTCGACCCTGTGCTCGTACTGCAGCCTCCTGCGCACCAGTCTCGACGGTATGAGTTTCCTGATCAGCAAGCACGTCAGCCCGCTGGGAGTGAGGAGAGGAAAGGAACACGTCAAGCCCAGCACTCTCTGTGACATTTCAGGTGGTAACTGTCCAGAAACGTCGGGGCCGCGCCCGAGACTCCTCACTCAGGCTAAAGATACGACTTTGGTAGGTCGGTGGTACTGCAGCGCGCCTTCTTGGCGCGCTCAAGGGCTTCTTCAAGCGTGGCCTGAACAGCCTGCCGGGGCCCCTCTTGGCCTCAGAGGCGTCGTCAGCTTCATCACCTCCTCCTGCGTCGTTAACGAGCTTGTCGGTCCAGTCACCGTCGAAGTAAGAGAAGGAGAGGTCAGCCATCTTCGCGTCCTTGCCAGAACCGAGGTTGATGACAGCACCGCCACGATCATCACCAGCAGCACCAGCAACATCGGACGGGGCCTTGACGTCCTGCGCCACCTGTTGTCTCTGGGCAACCACCGTGTCACGAGCCGCAATGGGTTTGCCGAGGTCCGCCAACACCGTTGCCTCGTAGCTCAGCGACACTAGCTGCGCACGTAGGCCAGCTGCAGGGTCATGCGCAAGAGGAGGATGGTCACCAGCGCCAGCAAGAACATCAGGAGCTGCACCACCTCCTGAGAACTGGCCGTACGCGTCGGCGGCGCGCTTGGCGGCATCCTTCACCTTGGCCTGCATCTCGTCATGCTCCGCCTGGAGCTGAGCCACATGCAGGACCTGCTTAGAGAGGTTGCCTTTGGCCTTATCCAGGGCATCGGCCAGCTTGACGACCTTGGCCTTGCGGAAATCGCGCTCCTGATTTGCTTCCTTGGAAACAGCTGCTGGGTCGTCAGACTTGGCCGCCCGCTGCGCCACGATGCGTACACGCTGCTGGCTGGACAACAGCGCCACGAGAGCTGCAAATTGCAGATCGTCGAACGCAGCGAAGGCGTGGATCTGCTCGTCCTCCAGCATGACGTCGGCCTTGACAACGGCGGCGCCTTTGCCCGCACCCCACTCAGCCCTTGAACGAATTCCAAGGGCCTCCGGGACGGGCTTGTCGGCACCACAGCACTGGCACGTGCGCCGCCATCCGAAATAGCTGGGGAAATTGCATTTCTTGGCTGCGCATGTCCACGTCTGCCCGCCCCAATACCGCGCGGCACTGCTGGAACGGGACTTCGGGGGAGCCATGCGCTGCGAGTTGCACAAAAAGGGGCCACCTGCTGGCCACAAAACACTCGGGCCAGCCCGTTGGCTGCAGCCAAGCACGAAACCGCAGGGCGTCGGCTTCGTGCTTGAGCTAAAATGGCTACGGACCCTCCTCGTCCTCGTCCTTCTCCTTGTCCCTCTCCTCCTCCTCCTCCTTTTCCTCCTCCTCCTGGCTACATGGTTACATGCATGATGCAGCAACGTACAAGCACGATGCAGCATAACAAAAACATAAAAAATGGGTGGTGCGAGTAAGCCCTGGGGAGCCTGCAGGAAGATCATGAACTAGGGGTGCACGAACACAGTCGCCCCAGTTGATGGTCATCCTACACGCTCCCAGGTCTTACTCAACACCAGGACCCAGGCACCTGTCACCGCGCCTGGGAGCCCCTGTCCTCGAAGCCTGAAGGTCACGTCCCCTCCTCCTCCTCCTCCTCCTCCTCCTCCTCCTCCTCCTCCTCTTCTGCTTCTTCTTTGATTTCTTCCTCCTCTTCCTCCTGTTCCTCCTCCTCTTCCTCCTCCTCCTCCTCCTTCTCTTTCTCCTCCTCCACCTCCCTCTTGCTCTCTCCTCCTCCTCCTCCTCCATCTCCTCCTCCTCCTCCTCCTCCTCCTCAGCCTCCTCCTTCGCCGACTCCTCCTCCGACCCCTCCTCCCCTTCATCTTCTTACCCCTCTTCTGCACGCCGACCTCTCGAACGGTCTCGAACGGTCTTCGCCTTCTGCGTGCTGTCCGAGATTCCGAGGAAGGCCTCGGCTTCTTCGCAGCGGCCAGGCGCAGTCAGGAAGCTTCGGCACGGCTCGCGAGCCGTCCCTGGAGCAGTCGATGAGCAGTGCTGCCGCGGCCGTGACCTCGTCTGACGGGTGCTGTCGTCCAGCGCCGCTGCGGAGAAGCAGATCATGCTCGATCATGCTGCGATGCCACCCACGTGGCTTTAGATCACCATCGCTTAAGTACAGCACCAGTTAGGCTTCTGAGACCGCGGGTGCTGCACTCGTTGCTGCGCCCTGCTTGAACTACTCCTCTTTCTGGGGGGCCTGCTCGGCCCATTCACAGCTCCCGCACTCTCCTGGGCTGTCATGAGCCTCTCGCTCTCCCTCTCTTTGGGTTCAGCGTCCGCTGGTCAGCCCCCGCCCTCAGACTTTCTGTGTTTCTCGCAATAGTCAGTCGCGAAAGTTGGGCCTCCCTGTCTGGCCAAGAAAATGTAGCTGCGCAGTGGGTTGGCGCACGCCGAGTCGGGCCTTCGAACTGCATTCTAGTTGTCAAAGTCGTCGGAAACATCGAGTGAGTTTGCGCTCGACTGTCGGGCGCCATCTTCCCTGAGCAGGTGGCATGATGAGATCCGGCCCGCACCCCTCCCTGAGAGTGGTGTGTGCTCTGTTGCAGAGGCTATAAAAGGTGGCGCACATGCTCTCGCAAACCCGCTGAGAGTGCCCGCACTGCATCAGCCTCCTCCTCATTCTCCTGCTCCTCCTGGGCGGTTGCCGCGGCCACGGCGGAACGCAGCCCCGAACAAGACCTGCCATGATAGCCCCTGGGAGGGGATCGCATCGAGTGCCTGGCTCTGACCAGAGACGCATGGGCCAGCCCAGGCCTCCAGAACATCGAGACGGTCCGCCCGTCAAGCTCTGGACCTGCGGGTGGGCCTGCCGCGATTCCAGAGGCGCCTGGCAAGCACCCCAGGACGGCAGAGAGGCTCCCGCAGGAGGGGTCGGGCCCGCGCGGTGAAAGGGTCGTGACGTTGGAGCTCGGAGTCGTTCCCGCCTTTCCCGAGGCCGCCCGGTTCCCTCCCTCGCTCCCACTCCCGACACGCCCTGGCTGCCAGCGCCAGCGATGGTATGATTCACCTCGGAGCTGACTCGAACTCGCGGCACGGTATCCCTTGGCGGCGAATAGGGAGAGGAGGGGAGGAAGGGCGCGATCAGTGACTCGATAACGGGAAGCCAGGGAGTGGTAGATGGAGGTGCACCAGAACTGCGGGGGGGAGGCGGGTGACGATCATAAGACATCGATTGATAAATTTCCAAATATTCTGACCATTGGCTCATCCTCCACCGACATCCTCCTCCTCTTCCTCCTCGCCCTCCTCGTCCTCCTCCTCCTCCTCCTCCTCCTCCTCCTCCTCCTCCTCCTCCTCCTCCTCGTCATCCTCCTCCTCCCGCGCGCAATTTCGACAGGGGGAAAAGCGGAGCGAGGAGGAGGAGGAGGAGGAGGAGGAGGAGGAGGAGGAGGAGGAGGAGGAGGAGGAGGAGGAGGAGGAGGAGGAGGAGGAGGAGGAGGAGGAGGAGGAGGAGGAGGGAGGGAGGGAGGGAGGGAGGAGGGAGGGAGGAGGAGGAGGAGGAGGAGGAGGAGGAGGAGGGAGGAGGAGGAGGGAGGAGGAGGAGGAGGGAGGAGGAGGAGGGAGAAGGCAGGGAGGAGGCAGGGAGGAGGGTGTGAAGTGGAAGGAGGTAGAAGGACGAGGGAGGAGGAGTAGGAGGAGGGGGGAGGAGAGGACGACGAGGACGGACGCGGAGGAGGAGAGGGGAGGCGGAGAACGAGAGGGAGGACGAGGGTGAATCAGGAGGAGTAGGGATGAGGAAAGAGGAGTAGGATGGATGATGAGGAGGAGGACAAGGAGGGAGGGAAGGAAGGAAGGAAGGACCTTGCCCCTCCGCCGCCCGCGCTGCTCTCCAGCCCACCCCTGCCCGGCTTCCACCAGCCGGCACCGCGCGCCAGCGCCAGACTACTGCGGACTGCCGTGCCCGTAGTCGAAAGTAACAGACAAAATGAATGCGTGAACCCCTCCTCGCGACGACCAGTCCGCTCCTCTCCTCACCACCAGGGGATACGCATGGAGCAGTCTTACAGGTCCACCATCTTCCTCCTTCCTCCACATCCTCCTCTGACTGTGTTCCCCCTTCCTGCTGGCAGGGGGGACGTGGAGGAGCGAGGTGGATCTGTGCAGCTGCCCTCCCCCAGGGCAAAGGGGGGGGCGGGGAGGGGAAGGCTCCTCCGACGCGCCTGGTCGCCTTCCGGCCTCTCGCAGAGGGCTCTGCAGGACCCCGGGAGGCCTCCCCAGACCTCCTCGGCGACCCGGCAGCCCATTGCGACGCAGGCTCTGCCACCAGTCTCGGCATCCAGACGCCGCTCCTGGGACCCCCGGGCGCCAGCCACAGACCAGACCCGACGGGGCCGAGGGCGACACAGGGGCCAGGCGGATCGGGCGAGAGATCATCGAGCCGTCGCAGGCCATGAGGAAACCAAAAGGTGCGGATGCCACTATAGGGGAACAACAAGTGGCAAAAACGTAAAAACTCGGAGGTCCGCGCGGATTTCTCGGATCGGCGCTGGGGGCCCCCAGCGGCGCCTCAGGCGCCGCCCCTGGCGCGCTCCGCGCGCCGGGGAGGGGGGTCCAGCGCCGATCCGAGAAATCCGCGCGGACCTCCGAGTTTTTGTGCTTTTGTCACTTTTCGTTCCCCTCCACTGCTCCCCGGACCTCTCCCAGGGAGCGTTCTGACCAGGACTCCGAGGCGAATCCAGCGGTGGCGACGAGGGCCTCCAAGGAGGCCGAAGAACGGGAAAACGGGCGAAGGAGTAGAGGTGTGGGCAAGTACCTCCCCCTCCTCTGGGGTCAGAGGCCTCACGTCCTCCGCGAGAGGCAGGACGCCGATGGGGGATGGGGACCTCGAGCGGACCCGCGGTCGCAGGCAGGGGGCTGCGCCCAAGAAATAAAACGTACCTGGCCTCACAGCGAGGAGGAGGAGGAGGAGGAGGAGGAGGAGGAGGAGGAGGAGGGAGGAGGAGGAGGAGGAGGAGGAGGAGGAGGAGGAGGAGGAGGAGGGCTTACCGCCCGCGACTCGGGCACAGAGCGAAGGGGGAGCTCCTTCCCCGGCCCGCCCCCTTCTGGCGGAGCATGCTGCGGCAGCTCATGAGAGCCTCCCACACCATCTTGTCGGCTCTTGCGAATCGACCCTTCGTCGACACGAAGTCGACGCTGATCGACGCTAAATCGACGCGATTCGACGCTAGATCGGCGCTACATCGGCGCTATCTCGCCGACTCCCAGACGCTAGTCGACGCTAATGGACGCTACAGACGGAATTAACAGGACACACCAGGATCCCATGATTTGCCACCGAAGGAGTATGGTGTTCGCCGCTTCTGCCTCTCCTCCAGGAGGGCGAAGCGGATAAGCTCCAGTATGCCAGGCGAGAGGGGGGGAGAGAAGGAGGAGGCACGAGGGAAAGGGGGAGGGCGAAAGGCGAAGCTCCCCTTGCGTAAGATCCGCGGCCTCGGTCCGTGACTCGAGGCGGCGGAACCCGCAGACGGCACGAAGAGGCAGCCGTGGCTCCGGGATGCCAGCAACCACTCGCCGACCCCATCCCTGGCCTGGGTCGTCCCGGGTCCGGGCCACGGTGCCTGCGGCCTCTTGGCCTCGACGGGACTGCGGCCCCGAACAGGGACAGGGATGGCGTGGCTGCCTCCTCACGGGGCCCAAGAATATACACCACCACCACCTCCGTCACCCCCTCCCTCTCCTGAGAAAGAGGGGAGGAAGAGGAAGGAAGAAAGGGGGGAGGAATGGCGGTCTTGGTGGTGTATATTGTATATATAATTGAGGCCCGCACTTCTGCAACATGCAACACTACTAAAAGTTGGAGGCCAAGTGAACATTCCGCCCACCAGGTGAGGCCGGCGCTGTCCGTAGCAGCCTGCCCGCTGCCCCTGGCCAACGGGCCCCTGGTCTCAGGTCGGGCATGTCTTCCTACAGACGGATTTTGGAAGAAGTATGAAGGAATGTCAAAAAGATATTCAGAAAATAGTCGAATGAGGGCGACAAATCGTCACCATACGATTATTTCACTATGCTTGAATACTCCTCATGTAGAGGGACATGCCCGACTCAACCCTCGTCTCAGGTCAGTATTTCGACCATGAGTGAAACACGTCCTTGCCCTGCCCACTCATTATAGCCCTTTCGCGCTGCCCAGAGCAGACGCGCAGAGTAGGACTTCGCAGCACGCTGATCAGACAGCGGCAGCGCGCGGCACTTGCAAAGCTCAGGGCTCAACACACCCGAAGACGCCAGGCACACTGCTCGTGCCAGTGTGCGACATTGAGGGGCAACGTGAGGGGGGGACCGGCTCGGGGGTCGAAACATCGGCCAGGAATCGGTGGCACGTCACACATAGATCGGCGACAACCACCCGACAGCGAAACTCCACGCTCCTGGGCGGGCTGGGCCATCGGACCCCAGGCGGCGCTGAATGGGCGATGCATCCCTGGCTGAGCCCATCCCCTCCTGACGTTGCCCCCGAGAAATCGGCTCGCCCCGGCGCATCTTGACATCGGAGAAACGGTTGGCGGCGCGCACAGAGGGGGTACAGGGGGAAGGGGGAAGGCTTCTCAAAGGAGGCGGTTTCTTAGAAGGCGCAGGCCTCGTCCACGGATGCAGGGCCAGCGCCTTCTAAGCGACCGCCTGCTTCGGAGCAGCCTTCCCCCCTCCCCGTAGCCCTCCTTCTGCGGCAACCCATGTGAGCCTCCCATACCCTCGTGTTGGCTCTTGCGAATCGCCGCTCATCGCCGCTCATCGACGCTAAATCGACGCTACATCGACGCCAAACCGACGCTACATCGACGCCAATCGGCGACAAATCTGCTCTATCCCATCGATTACTTGAACGCCCGACATGGGTACGGAAAGAATGGGCACAATGCCCAACAACAAATGTTGTCCCAAACCAACAGCGGCCGCTGTTGGGCAGGCGGCCGTCTGCCTCGAATGGACACAGGCCGCGGCGGCGTGGACAGCGAATCCTGTTCAAAATGAACAGGCACTGCTGTTGGGCATTCTACCCATTCTTTCCGTACCCATTTCGGGCGTCCAGGGATTCCCAGACACTCATCGACGCCAGCGCGCTCCAAAGACAGAGCCGCGAGGGCACACCTGGCCCCCACGACTCGCCACCGAGCCCCCCACCCCCCGGCGCGCGCCGCCCGCATGGGAGCGGCCCCGTGGGCCAGCCGAGGCGGCCGCCGCGGCCTGCGGAGCGAGCTGCACGGGGTCAGCACGTCCTCGGGGCGCGGGCCGGGCAGGAGGGCCAGGTCGGGCATGTCCCCCTACGGGCGGCTCTTGGACGGAAAATTTTAAAAAATACCCCCAACATGCCCCCGAAAAGCTCAAAAAGACTTGAGGAACCGTCCCCAGACCCTGCTTTACTATTTTTGGATATTCCCCCTGTCGAGGGACAGGCCCGACTTAGCAGGAGGGCAGGGGGGGGGGGCCGCAGCGGCGCTGCGGCGCTCGTGGCGTCGGCCCGTGCTGCGAAGGCGCGGCCCCTCCTCGCGCGGCGGGGCCCGGTTATCCGGCAGCCAAAGGCTGTGCCCATCTCTTTGACGAGCCGACAGCACACACCCATACCCATAGGGGGGTCGGAGAGGGCTACGGGTGCGTGTTGTCGCCTGGGGGTCCCCGCTCGAACGGGAGCGTTCCCCAGGGCCAGACACCCCGCACCCATACCCATAGCCAGTCCTCCTCGCAAGGACCCCCCTATGGGTATAGGGCGTGTGTTGTTCGCTCGTCATCTCTTGGAGGACAGCGTTTCGCTCCCGCAGGCCTCCGCCGAGCTTCCGCCGGCTTCCGCCGGCGGAAGCGGCCTCGCTTCACTTCCGCCGACCTTCCGCCGCGGAAGAGATGCCGACACCTTCGATCCTCAAAGCCAAAGACGTTTTTCGAACGCTCCACGCAGGTCTCTATCAGGGAGTCGTCGTGACCGAAACGGTGCCCGAAAATCCGCATGTGTGTGTGACCCAAGCTGGGGCCCGAAGTTGTCCGACCGCGCCCGCCGAAATGCTTGGTCTGAAATCAAGACGAGTTTCAAGTTCGGTCGCAATTTCAGTCCCACTACGTTTTCGGTCACAACTTCAGACGCGTGTTCGGTCACCTACCTTCTCGGCTGATATGGGCCCAGGCCAGACGCCATGAGATCTCATTACCAGTACGCTTGTCGCTGCTCATGCTCTACAGCACGGTCATGGCATTGGATAAGGAAACCTTCGATGAGGAATCCAGGGACTGGAAGCCAGTGGAAAAGCCAATGGTGGATTGGCCACGGATATCACCGTCGCCCTCATCAGATACGGAACCCTCCAGATAGGGCGACGAGATCTATGCATATCCACTGCTCCTGGCCAGGCCAATCCTGGGCCCAGGAGCGGTGTATACGCCCTCCTGGCCTGGCCAGGGAGGCATATACACAGCTCCTGGGCCCAGGATGGGCCTGGCCAGGAGCAGTGGATATGTATAGATCTCGTCGCCTCGTCGCCCTACCAGAGGTCTGAAGCCCCTGGACACATCCCTTAACCAACGCCCCCACCGCCCGTGCGTCGAACAAGGCATCGGCCGGTCAGCAGGTGCCCCCCTGCCACGGCCGTGTGGAACCACAGAAGCCCTGGGGGGCATCTCGGGAAGCTCAAAATTCGTCGGCGACGCACCTTCTAGCAAGATTCCTTATATCGGCGGCGAGCGAGGGGGGGAAGTGACAAGGAGAAGGCCCTCTCAGTAGGCGGCGGGGCTTCTCGGAACCCCTCCGGCCTTCTGAGATGTTTTCTGTGTCTCCGAGGAGCGCTCAGAAAACTTCTCGGAAGGCCGAGGAATTTCCGAGCCTTCTGAGGAGGCGCGCCCCTTCTCACTTCCCCCCCCCCGCTCGCCGCCGATTACAGCAAGCTTCCGCTGTTCTGGCTTACGGCTCTCGCCGTGGCGCGCATGGGCGCCCACGAGGACTGCGGGGCCGCGGCAGAGGCGCTGCCCGTCCAGAAGCGGACCTCGAGCACAACTGGAGAGGGACGACAACGACACCGGCACGGGGGCAGGAGGAGCGGGGAGGGCGGCCCTCCGATCCCACGTCGGGCCCCTCGCCCTGCCCAGCTTGACGCACGGGCACGCCGCAGGGCCGGGGAGCGGGCACGGGAGGGCCAGGACGGAGCGGAGAGCAGCGGGCGAGGCGCCCCGGCGGGCCGCGCCCCGGAGCGTCGCCTCCACGCCCTCCTGGTCTGCGCCCGCGAGACGAAGATCACAGTGAGCGCACGTGCCGCATGGAGCGGCTCAGTACGGGCACGGCTTCGCAGGTCAGTCAACCATTCGCCGAGGGGCTGAGGGAGTCGATCCAGATTCTCTCCCCGTGTTCCTCGTGGTGATCAGATGCTGATGCTTGTGACCTGCGCCTGGAACGAGGGGGTGACTTGCTTTCGAGTTTCGGAGCCCCGTTCTCAGTTCTCATCGGGGGGACTGCAGACCAATGCTGCCAAACAAACTATCAACGAGTGTCTCTTCTGCGCACCATCCTCGAGGGGGCGCGGGCTCTTGACAAATGCTAACTCATCTAGTTGCTCAGCCTTGCAGGCCCCAGAGCCGAGCACTGCGGCACAGGATAGGGCAGCAGCAGAACCTGCTAGCAGCAAACTCGTCGGAGGTCGGATCTCGCCAAACAAGTGCCTCCGCCAGGGATGGCAGCTGGTGGCCTCTGAGAATTCAGCCAGGCTGTCTGGGCAACGGAGGCTCCCACCACAAAACGGAACTTCCACTATACGCCACCCAAATGCCGGTGATGGCGAAACGCTTCCGTCTGCAGAACACGTCAAAACATTGGAGGGCCGGGGGGGAGGCGGAAGGGAGGGGGGGAAGTACGGGAGAGGCAGGGAGGGGCAGGAAGGGAGGGACAGGACGGCCCAGGAGAGGGAGGGGGAAGGGGCTGGGAAATCACTCGGGAAACTAACAATGACATAAACATGAAAACTCAGAGGGCCGCGCGGATATCTCAGATCGGCGTTGGACCCCCCTCCCTGGCGCGCGGAACACGCAAGGGGCGGCGCCGGAGGCGCCGCCAGGGGGCTCCCGCGCCGATCCCAGAGATCCGCGCGGAGGTCAGAGGCTGTTTGTGTTCATGTCATGCTCCGTTCCCCTGTTCGCAGAAGGGCGGGGAAGGAGATAATCGGGGGGGGGAATCTTAGGTCGGGCCTGGCCCCCTACAGGGGGGTTTTCGATGACAGACCAGAAAATACCCAAAAATGACCCCCCAAATTGTTCGAAAATGGTCCAAAGATCGTTTTCCAGGCTATCTTGTGACTGTTTTTGAATATACTCCTCCTATAGAGGGCCGGGCCCGACTTCAAGATAAGCAGGGGGGGGGGGGGGGGGGGAAATCCGCACGACGCTCACGGAGTCCGTAGAGCAGCAGCCCAGGGGGGGAGGGTCGGCGAGGAGGAGAGGAGGAGGAGGAGGAGGAGGAGGAGGAGGAGGAGGAGGAGGAGGAGGGAGGAGGAGGAGGAGGAGGAGGAGGAGGAGGAGGAGGAGGAGGAGGAGGAGGGGACAGAAAGGGGGGCCCAGGCCCTGGCCTGCGCGCGCTCGGCACCTCGGCGGGCGCGCGGCGGCAAGAAGAGAGAGAGGGCGGCTGCGCGGGGGCGCGGCCGCGCCACGCGAGAGCGGGCGCACGCCGCCCGCGGCACGCTGCTCGGGCCCCGCGGAGCTGAAGAGGCCCAGGGACAGACAAATACATACACACTGATATGAGGATCCCCCCCTATTTTCCCATAGTTTCTGGGTTTTCATGGGGATCGACGATGAATTGTGTCTGTGTCTTTTTGTTCCCCTCCTGAGGAGCGGCATCGGCCTTGTGCACGCGGCCGCCTCCCCTCGGCGCGAGGCCGCGGAGCTCGACGCCGCTGGAGCAGGGCCGAGGGCCGGGGAGCGGCGTCTGCGGCACGGGCCGTCGCAGCGTGTGCGGCTCTGGCATGGCCGTGCCTCCTCCCCTTCCCCCTCTTCTCCTCCTCTTCCTCCTCCTCCTCTCCTCCTCCTCCTCCTGCTCCTCCTCCTCCTCCTCTCCTCCTCCTCCTTCCTCCTCCTCCTCCTCCTCCTCCTCCTCCTCCTTCTCCCCCTCCCCCTCTCCCTCCGCCTCCCCCTCTCCCTCCACCTCCCAGTCCCCCTCCCTCTCCTCCTCATCCTCCTCCTTTCCCGCGCGGCGTTTGGGCATCGCACGGCCTCGCATGGGCCCCATTGCTGCTGCCGTTACCCCGCGACTCGGCGAGCGGACAACACGCGCCGTTACCGCGCGGGAACGCCACTTCCAGGCGAAATCTGCATGGAGCCCTGGCGAGGGCGACAATTCGCACGCTCACACGCGGCTCCAAGCCCAACGACGTGGCGAACGAACACAGATGCGCCGCGCCAGAGCGGAAGCACCGCTTTCAGGTGTAATCTGAGAGGCTTCAGCGCGAGAGCGACATTTTGTACGATCACACGCGGACCCGCTGTCGACGAAGTGGCAAATGCAAAAATGAGCGCCGCGCC